ATCTAATAAGGGTCTGGCTCAGCGAGCCACGACTGTATATTTTACCACACTGCTGTAAGCCTGTGCCCAGAAAGAAGCAGCTAAAAACAATGTCTTAAGAAGCCCAATGCTGGTACAAGTTTGACAAATCTTGCAGTGACTGATCAGACCGTGTGCTGGGCTTGTGGTTTTCCAGCAGCGAGGTTGCAAGTGAGAGTTGACACTAGCTGCCTTTTCTATCTTTTTCTTTTCTCTCCCCTCTTGCGTGTGTTTGTCTCATTCTGCCTCTAGGAAACAGGACTGGACTTTAACAACAGCAATAAGGAGGTTGTGGAATCTCCATCATTGCAGATTTTTAAGAACAGGCTGGATAAACACCCATCAGGGATGGTCTAGATAATACTTAGTCCTGCCTTGAGTGTAGGGGACTGGACTAGATGACCTCTCGAGGTCCCTTCCAGTCCTATGATTCCAATAACAACAGCTCCAGCCTAGCTCAACTTATTGTTTCTCATTTCCCTAGAAAAAAACAGTTACTACCATCTAAGACTGTCAAACAAGGGTTTTTTTCCTTCTAAAGGATCTCTCCAGCTAAAGGGAAAGAACAATGGAAGTTGTTAAAATGAAAAATTTACTTACTCCCTTATATGTCAAACGCTTTAACTGGTTTTCCTTCTTTTCTGTATCTTTAATAAAAGGTTAAAAGGATGTTTCCTGGTGTGTTTGCTGTGGTGCTAAGTGGCTGAGATTTTTGGGTACCAAAGCCCAAACCTTGTTTAACACTGTTTAATGTTGGACGGTAACGGGGTCATGTTAACTCTTTTGACTCTTTGGGCCCATATAGTGCATCAAAATGAATACAACAAGCCTGTTAAGACATTGAAGAGTAACACACAAAACTGCCATCAAACCTGGCCCCCTTTTGATCCTCATGGCATAGAGGTCCAAGATGGAATGATAACAAAGACTGACTCGTAGACCCCATGGCTTCTTTCATTCACACATCTCCAGGCATTTTCCAAACCATAAAAACCCATTTCCATATTATTGTACATTACAGAAAAGACCTCTCCCACCACTGAAATGCAGCAGCTCTGGGGCAGACAGCTAGAGCTTATTTAACGGCACACACAACTGTTGGGGATAGGAGGCGAGGAAGAACATAATGTCCAAGGCTAAGTTAGGGATTGGGGTTTGGCCAAGACACTATCTAACTTCTCTGTTCTTGCAGAAAAGTGCTGTGAGATCCTGAATGACAAGTGAGCCAGACAATGATCTGATGTCTCACCCTGGTGATGGCACCAGCGACAGAGTGCCCTTTGAATGGGCCCGCAGCCTGAACCTCCTGTCTCATCCCTACAGGTGCTCCCTCTGGACCAGGGATCAAGGCACAGTGGCACAGGGCATGTGAGCAGGGTCAGAATGAGTTCTCCCCTGACATCTAGTGATGAGCTGGGTGGGGTGGAACTTCAGGACTGGACTGTATTTGTGTAAACACACTTACTCTGCCTAGGTATTCAGCAGACAGAGCTGCATTGCCAAAGTGGTCAATTTTGGCTGGGGTTGAGTTACAAATCACTTTAGTATTGAATGCAAAGGTAATGACACGTTGCTATCCTTATTGCATGAGTAAAAGGCAGCAGAACTGTGCTTAGCATCCTGATTGAGGGGGTCACCCTCAACTGAAGTGCACTCACTAAGCAGGGTTTAGGGATGCCAAATCCCAGCAAAATTTGAGAGAGTGAGGACAGGTGTTCCTACCTGGTGGGGTGGGCTCTGCCTAAGAGTCCTAGGCCAGGTCGACACTACAAATGTCCACTGAAAGAACGACGTCACTCAGGGGTAAATCCACACCCCTGAGTGACGCAGTTATACTGACCAAACCCTGGTGTAGACAGTGCTGTGTTGACCTGCCCTTAGGTACCATTTAACCCTCCCACTCGCCACTGTTTGAAGACAGCTAATTTGACCCACTAGAGAGTCTCTCTTTTGTTTTATGATCACTGGAGCTGGACTCACTGATAACCAGGTCTCACTGCTGAGCCTTAGACCTGGCGTGGGACAGCTGGCGCAGTGAAAGAGAGGGCCTAGCCCGCATCAGCAGCGAGGTTCCCCACTACCCCCTGAAATCACCCATAGCTGGGTTAAGCGGTGGAACCTCAGAATGTGGCATCACAAAGAGTGGCACCGGAGTGAATGATGGCAGCGGTGGGCAGCCATGGCAGAGTGAGCAGAGGTGTCAGAGGCATTTCTCGATGCTTCTCCTGCCCCCAGACCCCCCAGGGGTGGGAGGTGAACCCCCATGTATGCACCTCTGAATTCTGGGTGTTTGCTGACCAACTGTGAGTGGCGTGAAGCGGTGGGAGAGGGGAGTGATGTGCTAAAAGGACGTTCGTTCATCGGGCTGAGGACAGGTGGGACACTGAGGCAAAGGACACTGCCCAGTGCCCTGTGGGGTGGGTGGCTTATGTTTGCACATTTTTGAATGTGGGTTTGGTGTTTTCTAAAACTAATGCATGGTTCCCTTTTCCTTGTCATAACAGTTCTCTTTTCTCTTGAACAGACTCAGTGCTTGCGAGTGGGGAAGTTGCTTCTTAGAGGTGACCAGGGGTAGTGTTAAGTTTTCCTAGAATCCTGGGTGGGGTTCAAGCTGGTTCTGGGTTGCAGTGTGAAGAGGAACCCCTGGAAGTTATGCATGCACTGCCAATGCCTGTGGTGTCCTTTATCTGCAGATAAATGCAGGACTCGAGTCACCTGCCAGGTGCTTCTGGACAGAAGCCAACTGCTAACTACTGGGAGTTAGGAGAAGACTTTTCCATCTAGAGATTATCCTATAGGTGCCTATTACTGGGTTCCTTGTACCTCCCCCTGAAGCGGCTGGTGCTGGCCACTGCTGGAAGCTGGAATCTAGACAAGGTGGACCACAGTTTTGACCCAGTCTAGCAATTCCTATGGAAAGAAAGAGAGGTATTTAAGTGGCAATCAAGTGCCTCTTAGGCTGGCGAACCTTGTGTTTATTCGCTGCAAATGTCTAAGTCCTTCCTTGAGACTGGGGTAATCGCATTTGCTTTGACATGCTGGTAGAAAGGCAGGGGACTGTCAGTCCTGGTGTAATTGGAGAAAAGGCCAGTGTTGCTCGGTAAACCTGGCACTGCAGCAAGCCAATGATACATCTCCCGTAGCAAAGCGTAAGTGGTGTCATTCTATCCTCCCTTGGGCAGGTAAGCAGTTAGGAGCGGTGCTGGTGTGCAGTTATACTGACAGGGGTGTTTGCATTACAGGGGCATTACACAGCCGGGATCATATCAAAGCAATAAATAGCAATGATCCTGCTACAAAAGAAAAGCAATTGCTCCACACCTTAGGAAGAGATGCCCTCTACTTGTCGGCTGTTACATAACTGTCCACTACAGGATTTAGCATCAGATAAATGTCCGACAGGACAGTGGAGTGGAGTGGATCAGTCGGATCCAGCAATCCCTGTGATTTCTCCACTTGGACAGAGGTGTCTGCCTTGTCTGCAAGTATGCAGTTCCCAGAGATAACTGTATGGAAGGTAGGAAGGATTAGTTACAAGGTGTTTCTTAGCTAGGGGCATCTGAAAAAGCATGATGCGATTCAAAGAACATTTTTTTAACAGACCCAATTTTAATTCAAGCTGTCTCATAACCCAATTAACAGATGTATTTGAAAGTCTTCTGAAAATTGAGGCTTTTCTCACAGGATGTGTCAGGGTTCCTTCCCCACTCTGAAATCTAGGGTACAGATGTGGGGACCCACATGAAAGACCCCCTAAGCTTATTTCTACCAGCTTAGGTTAAAACTTCCCCAAGGCACAAAGTCTTTGCCCTTGGATTAGGTAAAACGCTGCCACCACCAAGTGTTTTAGACAAAGAACAGGGAAAGGACCACTTGGAGTTCCTATTTCCCCAAAATATCCCCCCCAAGCCCTTACACCCCCTTTCCTGGGGAGGCTTGAGAATAAGATGAGCACAAACTCCTTGGATTTTTAAGACCCAAAAAACCCAATCAGATTCTTAAAAATCAGAACTTTATTAGAAGAACAAAAAAAGATAAGAGAATAACTCTGTAAGATCAGAATGGAAGATAATCTTACAGGCAGTCAGATTCAAAATATAGAGAATCCCTCTAGCCAAAACCTTAAGTTACAAAAAGACTCAAAAACAGGAATACACATTTCCTCCCGCACAGCGAATTTCACAAGCCAAAAAACAAAAGAAAATCTAACACATTTTCTAGTTATATTACTTACTAACTTTATAGGAGTTGAATTGCTTGCTTTCTTGATCTGTCCCCAGCAGAGGCATCACACAGACAGACAGATAAAAGCCCTTTTTCCACCCCTCCAGATTTGAAAGTATCTTGTCCCCTCATTGGTCATTTTGGGTCAGGTGCAAGCCAGATTACCTTAGCTTCTTAACCCTTTACAGGTGAAAGGATTTTGCCTCTGGCCAGGAGGTATTTTATAGCACTGTATACAGAAAGGTGGTTACCCTTCCCTTTATATTTATGATAGGATGTGTGCTGTAAGTTTGAAAATGATACACAGTATTCTTCATTCGGAATGCATCCAATGAAGTGAGCTGTGTAGCTCACGAAAGCTTATGCTCAAATAAATTGGTTAGTCTCTAAGGTGCCACAAGTACTCCTTTTCTTTTTGCGAATACAGACTAACTCTGTTGCTACTCTGAAACCAGTATTCTTCATGTGAAACAAAGATGCTGAATACCTGCTTTAAATTAAACAAAGTAAAAAACAATGCACCCTTAACTATGAAGCTTCTCCCAGTAGGTCCATAACAGTTACATTTCCCATAGTCCCTGGGAGTCTTCAGCAGGGTGTAGGAAGGCACTTAGCTTAACTTCCCTTATTTGCCGAATTTCACTTGTGAGGTTCTGCTGTTCAATCCAGTCTATAAAAGCCCCCTTTGGAGTGTTTGCTGTCAGAAATGAAAATTCAGCAGCTCTATTCCCATTGCAGCCTGTGCTCTCCCTGTCATCATGAAGGTTTCCTTCTCCTTCTGCATCCTCTTGGCTTTCATAGATGCAGGTGAGTCCCCTGATTTTCGGACTGTTGACCCTATTGCAGCCCAAAGTGTAGAACCGGCCCTGGAATTGCTGTTCTGCAGTTGGGTGTCTTCCCATCCTGGTGTGAAATATCCCTTACCCCTATGGATTTGTTCCCGCTGTCTTGTATTGGGATTGTGATAAATAAAGGGGGAGCTCCCTTTTATGGACACCCAGCCAGCCAGTTAGCTATAAAACCCCTATTAGGAGCTGTTCTCTACTTGCTTTACCTGTAAAGGGTTAACAAGCCCACAGGTGAAAGGAAAGGAGTGGGCACCTGACCAAAAGAGCCAATGGGAGGGCTAGAACTTTTTAAAATTGGGAAAAAACTTCACTTTGTCTGTGTGTTGTTATTCTCTGGGAAAGAGGGGAACAGGGAACAGTTATGCTGTGAGAAGCTTTAAGCCAGGTATGAAAAACCATCAGATCATACCTAAAGATTGCTTATCTGAAACCCCAGAAATGTAAGTAAATTAGGGAATGTCTAGAAAGACGCGATTAGGGTTATTCCTGTTTATTTTTTACTGGCTTGTGGACTCCTCTGTGCTATCCCCAGATGCTTTTGTTCTGCTTGTAACCTTTAAGCTGAACCTCAAGAGAGCTATCTTGATGCTTAATTTTTGTAATTGTTTCTTTTTAAATCTAGCAAAAGCCTAAGTTCCAGATGTATTTTCTTTCTTTTTGTTTTTAATAAAATTTACCCTTTTTAAAGAACAGGATTGGATTTTTGATGTCCTCAGAGGTTTATGCATATGTTGTTTAATTAGCTGGGGACAACAGCTAATTTCCTTTGTTTTCTTTCTCACCTCTTCCCCGGAGTGAGGGGGTGAAAGGGCTTGAGGGTACCCCACAGGAAGGAATTCCCAAGTGCGCCTTCCTGGGTTCCAAGGAGTTTGCATTTGGGTGGTGGCAGCATGTACCCATCCAAGGTCAGAGAGAAGCTGTGACTTAAGGAAGTTAATACAAGCCCGGAGTGGCCAGTATTAATTTTTAAAATCCTTGCGGAACCCCACCTTCTGCACTTGAAGTGCCAGAATGGGGAATAAGCCTTGACAGGGATGAATGGGGTTTGGGGTTAGCTGGGTTCATCCTTCATGCCCAATGCTCACTTTGCTTTAAAATGCACCTTGAGGTGTCCGGGCCTGACGAGAAGAGAAGGGATCATAGAATCATAGAATATCAGGGTTGGAAGGGACCCCAGAAGGTCATCTAGTCCAACCCCCTGCCCGAAGCAGGACCAATTCCCAGTTAAATCATCCCAGCCAGGGCTTTGTCAAGCCTGACCTTAAAAACCTCTAAGGAAGGAGATTCTACCACCTCCCTAGGTAATGCATTCCAGTGTTTCACCACCCTCATAGTGAAAAAGTTTTTCCTAATATCCAATCTAAACCTCCCCCCCTGCAACTTGAGACCATTACTCCTTGTTCTGTCATCTGCTACCATTGAGAACAGTCTAGAGCCATCCTCTTTGGAACCCCCTTTCAGGTAGTTGAAAGCAGCTATCAAATCCCCCCTCATTCTTCTCTTCTGCAGACTAAACAATCCCAGCTCCCTCAGCCTCTCCTCATAAGTCATGTGTTCTAGACCCCTAATCATTTTTGTTGCCCTTCGCTGGACTCTCTCCAATTTATCCACATCCTTCTTGTAGTGTGGGGCCCAAAACTGGACACAGTACTCCAGATGAGGCCTCACCAATGTCGAATAGAGGGGAACGATCACGTCCCTCGATCTGCTCGCTATGCCCCTACTTATACATCCCAAAATGCCATTGGCCTTCTTGGCAACAAGGGCACACTGTTGACTCATACCCAGCTTCTCATCCACTGTCACCCCTAGGTCTTTTTCCGCAGAACTGCTGCCGAGCCATTCGGCCCCTAGTCTGTAGCGGTGCATTGGATTCTTCCGTCCTAAGTGCAGGACCCTGCACTTATCCTTATTGAACCTCATCAGATTTCTTTTGGCCCAATCCTCCAATTTGTCTAGGTCCTTCTGTATCCTATCCCTGCCCTCCAGCGTATCTACCACTCCTCCCAGTTTAGTATCATCCGCAAATTTGCTGAGAGTGCAATCTACACCATCCTCCAGATCATTTATGAAGATATTGAACAAAACCGGCCCCAGGACCGACCCCTGGGGCACTCCACTTGACACCGGCTGCCAACTAGACATGGAGCCATTGATCACTACCCGTTGAGCCCGACAATCTAGCCAGCTTTCTACCCACCTTATAGTGCATTCATCCAGCCCATACTTCCTTAACTTGCTGACAAGAATACTGTGGGAGACCGTGTCAAAAGCTTTGCTAAAGTCAAGATACAATACATCCACTGCTTTCCCTTCATCCACAGAACCAGTAATCTCATCATAAAAGGCGATTAGATTAGTCAGGCATGACCTTCCCTTGGTGAATCCATGTTGGCTGTTCCTGATCACTTTCCTCTCATGCAAGTGCTTCAGGATTGATTCTTTGAGGACCTGCTCCATGATTTTTCCAGGGACTGAGGAGAGGCTGACTGGCCTGTAGTTCCCAGGATCCTCCTTCTTCCCTTTTTTAAAGATTGGCACTACATTAGCCTTTTTCCAGTCATCCGGGACTTCCCCGGTTCGCCACGAGTTTTCAAAGATAATGGCCAATGGCTCTGCAATCACAGCCGCCAATTCCTTCAGCACTCTCGGATGCAACTCGTCCGGCCCCATGGACTTGTGCACGTCCAGCTTTTCTAAATAGTCCCTAACCACCTCTATCTCCACAGAGGGCTGGCCATCTCTTCCCCATTTTGTGATGCCCAGCGCAGCAGTCTGGGAGCTGACCTTGTTAGTGAAGACAGAGGCAAAAAAAGCATTGAGTACATTAGCTTTTTCCACATCCTCTGTCACTAGGTTGCCTCCCTCATTCAGTAAGGGGCCTACACTTTCCTTGGCTTTCTTCTTGTTGCCAACATACCTGAAGAAACCCTTCTTGTTACTCTTGACATCTCTTGCTAGCTGCAGCTCCAGGTGCGATTTGGCCCTCCTGATATCATTCCTACATGCCCGAGCAATATTTTTATACTCTTCCCTGGTCATATGTCCAACCTTCCACTTCTTGTAAGCTTCTTTTTTATGTTTAAGATTTGCTAGGATTTCACTGTTAAGCCAAGCTGGTCGCCTGCCATATTTACTATTCTTTTGACTCATCGGGATGGTTTGTCCCTGTAACCTCAACAGGGATTCCTTGAAATACAGCCAGCTCTCCTGGACTCCTTTCCCCTTCATGTTAGTCCCCCAGGGGATCCTGGCCATCCGTTCCCTGAGGGAGTCGAAGTCTGCTTTCCTGAAGTCCAGGGTCCGTATCCTGCTGCTTACCTTTCTTCCCTGCGTCAGGATCCTGAACTCGACCAACTCATGGTCACTGCCTCCCAGATTCCCATCCACTTTTGCTTCCCCCACTAATTCTACCCGGTTTGTGAGCAGCAGGTCAAGAAAAGCGCCCTCCCTAGTTGGCTCCTCTATCACTTGTGCCAGGAAATTGTCCCCTACGCTTTCCAAAAACTTCCTGGATTGTCTATGCACCGCTGTATTGCTCTCCCAGCAGATATCAGGAAAATTAAAGTCACCCATGAGAACCAGGGCCTGCGATCTAGTAGCTTCCGTGAGCTGCCAGAAGAAAGCCTCATCTACCTCATCCCCCTGGTCCGGTGGTCTATAGCAGACTCCCACCACTACATCACTCCTGTTGCTCACACTTCTAAACTTAATCCAGAGACACTCCAGGTTTTTCTACAGTTTCGTACCGGAGCTCTGAGCAGTCATACTGCTCCCTTACATACAGTGCTACTCCCCCACCTTTTCTGCCCTGCCTGTCCTTCCTGAACAGTTTATAACCATCCATGACAGTACTCCAGTCATGTGAGTTATCCCACCAAGTCTCTGTTATTCCAATCACGTCATAGTTCCTTGACCTCACCAGGACCTCCAGTTCTCCCTGCTTGTTTCCAAGGCTTTGTGCATTTGTATATAAGCACTTGAGATAACCTGCTGATCGCCTCTCATTCCCAGTATGAGGCAGGAGCCCTCCCCTCACAGACATTCCTGCCTGTGCTTCCTCCCGGTATCCCGCTTTCCCACTTACCTCAGGGCTTTGGTCTCCTTCCCCCAGTGAACCTAGTTTAAAGCCCTCCTCACTAGGTTAGCCAGCCTGCTGGCAAAGATGCTCTTCCCTCTCTTCGTAAGATGGAGCCCGTCTCTGCCCAGCACTCCTCCTTCATGGAACACCATCCCATGGTCAAAGAATCCAAAGCCTTCTCTCCGACACCACCTGCGTAGCCATTCGTTGACTTCGACGATTCGACGGTCCCTACCCAGGCCTTTTCCTTCCACGGGAAGGATGGACGAGAACACCACTTGCGCCTCCAACTCCTTTATCCTTCTTCCCAGAGCCACGTAGTCCGCAGTGATCCGCTCAAGGTCATTCTTGGCAGTATCATTGGTGCCCACATGGAGAAGCAGGAAGGGGTAGCGATTCGAGGGCTTGATGAGTCTCGGCAGTCTCTCCGTCACATCGCGAATCCTAGCCCCTGGCAAGCAGCAGACTTCTCAGTTTTCCCGGTCAGGGCGGCAGATAGATGACTCAGTCCCCCGGAGGAGAGAGTCCCCGACCACCACCACCCGCCTTCTCCTCTTGGGAGTGGTGGTCGTGGAACCCCCAAACTCAGGACATCGCATCTCATGCCTTCCAACCAGCGGAGTCTCCTTCTGCTTTCTCGCCCCAGACATATCATCTGGTCCACTCTCCGCAACGGTACCTGTGGAGAGAACTAAATCAGGAACTAAATCAGGATCAGGAACTAAATGGGAGGAAATGCCAGCTAGACATTAGTAAAGAGACTCATAGACTTTAAGGTCAGAAGGGACCATTATGATCATCTAGTCTGACCTCCTGCACAACGCAGGCTACAGAATCTCACCCACCTACTCCTGCAACAAATCCCTGACCTATGTCTGAGCTACTGAAGTCCTCATCTCATGGTTTAAAGGCTTCAAGGTGCAGAGAATCCTCCAGCAAGTAACCCATGCCCCACACTGCAGTGGAAGGCGAAAAACCCCCAGGGCCTCTGCCAATCTGCCCTGGAGGAAAATTCCTTCCTGACACCAAATATGGTGATCAGCTAAACCCTGAGCATGTGGGCAAAACTCACCAGCCAGACACCCAGGAAAGAATTCTCTGTAGTAACTCAGATCCCATCCCATCTAACATCCCATCACAGGCCATTGGGCATATTTACCACTAACAGTCAAAGATCAATTAGTTGCCAAAATTAGGCTATCCCATCATACCATCCCCTTCATAAACTTATCAAGCTTAGTCTTGAAGCCAGATATGTCTTTTGCCTCCACTGCTCCTCTTGGAAGGCTGTTCCAGAACTTCACTCCTCTGATGGCTAGAAACCTTTTTCTAATTTCAAGTCTAAACTTCCTGATGGCCAGATTATATCCATTTGTTCTTGTGTCCACATTGGTACTGAGCTTAAATAATTCCTCTCCCTTCCTGGTATTTATCCCTCTGATATATTTATAGAGAGCAATCCTATCTCCCCTCAGCCTTCTTTTGATTAGGCTAAACAAGACAAGCTCTTTGAGTCTCCTTTCATAAGAGGTTCTAGCTGCAGGGTACTCTCTCCAGTGAATTATCTCCATTGTGGTTGAAGCAGAGAGGAAATGAGGCACGAGGGGGGAAATGGAGAGCTGCATCATGCATTAGTGCCATCCCTGGACTAGAAGAATCAGGGAATCCTATCCCCCAAGGCTCCATACCAGCTGTAAAGTGATACTGACCCCTCAGGACATACAAGCCCCAGCAGCGTTGCTGACTGTTCCCTTGAACGTTGTGGCTTAGTCAAACAGGTCAGCAGATACAAGAGGAAAACCAGAGGATGCCTGCTGGTGAAGAAGATGAAGCTTGAAAGGAGAAGTGAGAAACATTCATAGCAACCGCTAAGACAAAGTGTGTTCCCTTTTCTTCCCTAGGGAGCTCTCTTCAGTGTGAGGTTTGCCATGAAATAGGGGAGAGCTGTTCCGGCCCCATGGAAACCTGCGATAGTGGCAAAGATACCTGTGGGGTCATAAAGCATGAAATTGTACAAGGTAGGTAAGAGAGAGCTTAAACCAGAGTGGTGCAGTGGACAGAGCTGGGAGGCAAGACTCCTGGGTTTTATTCCTATCTCTGCCACTGACTGGCTGGGTTACCCTGGGTGAGTTACATACCCACTCTATGCCTCAGTTTCCCATCAATCAAAGGGTGGGGCATGATGCTTGTGAAGCAGGTGGAACTGTCTGGATGAAAAGCACTAAGTATTATTATTAAGCCAAGCAGTGTTTCCTACCTGGCAACAAACAGTATGAGGGTCCAGTTTTCAAACTTGGAGGGGAGGGACCTAAACACCAATTTGATTCTCCAGGGCACCTGTTTGAGCATCCAGATTTATGGCCCCAGCACTGTGGCTTTGCCTGCATCCCTTCCCACTTATCCACATCCCCAGTCCCTAAGTCACCCTGTCATCCCCTCAAGGCACCTGCGTCGACATCTGGACACAACCCAGCTGTGTGAGTGAGATTCACCTTTAACCCAGGCAGTGTCAGATACCAGAGGGCTCCCATAGTCAGTTCCTGTGGGAGGGTGCTAGACTCAGGAGCCTGGTATAGAAACATGGACAGATAGACTGCGTAAGGACCCACTGGCCTGGAACCGGGGGCTCGGGGAGACGCTACTTCCTCGCTGCTATCTGGGGTGCCACCCTGAGGTGCTGAGACATGAAGCCCCACAGGCAGTCCTGCCCGAACAAGGACAAGTGACAGCCCTCCATGATTCCCTGGCACTCCCCATATAAACCAGGAAGATGTTTCTGAAAGTTGTCTGAGCAATGCAGACCACCAGTGTGTTTCTGTCTTAGACTGCACTTTGCCAAACCTCGCAGTGACAGACTCCTGACTCCTAACCTAGTCAGCCTTGGTCCTGGTTTACTCTCCTTGGCTTAAAGCCCTTTGCTGTCCTTGGTGAAAGCCCCTTGCCAGCCTTACCCTGATTCACGCCTCACTCTCTCAATTTTTAACAGACTCTGACTTGGTTTTGACGTGGCCTGTCTCTGGATTGATCTTGACCTCCGGACCTGATACTGAGCAGCTCACTTGATGCCCAGAGTCCTCCCATGACCCAGCCCTGATTGGTAGAGAGCCAGCACTATACAAGCATCTAGCGTTAGAGACAGACCAGCATTAGTGAGTCTAGGGATGTAGATAGACAAACTCCCCCGCTTCTCAGCAGCCTTACCAAGACTTTACAGGGCACAGGGATAAAACTGGTCTCCTTCTTGGCCAATACAACAGGGATTCATAGTTTTCAAGGCCAGAAGGGACACTGCGACCATCTAGTCAGGATCTCCTATAGAATGCAGGCCGGAGAACTTTTCCCCCAATAATTCCTAGAGCAGATCTTTTACCAAACCCTCCAATCTTGATTTTAAAATTGTCAGTGATGGAGAATCTACTATGACCATTGGTAAATTACTCACAAGTTATGCCTTATTTCCAGTCTGAATTTGTCTAGCTTCAACTTCCAACCATTTGATCATGTAATACATTTCTCTGCTCGACTGAGGAGCCCAATAGTGAATTGAGGACCTCCAGGACTAACAGCACAAGTCTCTACAGCTGAAGCGAGGCTCTCGGTAGCTCAGGGCTGTAACGGACTATCATGCATGGAGTGGGCACAGATGGGCACACAGCATAGCTTGGACCAGTGGGTAACAACTGTTTACTAAAGAGTCCCAAGAATGGGGTGTTCTTGCTGGGGTACAGCTGCAGTGAGACTTGGTGGCCACTAGCTGCTCCCCATGTAAATATTACAGTATGGGGTGGGGAGGCATGAAACTCCTCCCTAGTGTCTGAGATGTGATTGTGGGTAATCGCCATGCCCCCATCAGCACCAGCTGCAGGATGGTTTTGTTGTCCTCAAGCCCCATATTGTTTTGTATCATCCTGTCACGATGCTGGGAAGGCCATGCTGTGTCATGATTGCGGGGAAAGGGAAGAGAGGGAGCAAAGAAGTCACTGCAGGAAGGAATGCCCCTCAGGGCTGGGTGTGACAGTCAGGGTCCAGACACTCCAAGGGGAGAACGGAGATGGGGGAATCTGAACCCCAAAGAGTAAGCAATTGAATCAACCAGTTGTACACCATGTTATTGTGTATAAAAATATGTCGAGTAAGATCTTTTATGAAAGCTTGTAATGTTCTGAACTTGATGGTTCTTAGGAGACATGTATACAGACTGTGGGTATGAATCTGTGTATTTCTGTATATAGCACAGTATGCTCATGCCCTATGCTACAATTTTAAATACACCTGTCAAGGTCAAGGTTCCTTCCCCACTCTGAACTCTAGGGTACAGATGTGGGGACCTGCATGAAAGATCCCCTAAGCTTATTCTTACCAGCTTAGGTTAAAACTTCCCCAAGGTACAAACTATTTTACCTTTTGCCCTTGGACTTTATTGCTGGCACCACCAAGCGTCTGACAAATATATAACAGGGAAAGAGCCCGCTTGGAAATGTCTTTCCCCTGCAAAATCCTCCCTAAACCCTACACCCCCTTTCCTGGGGAAGGCTTGATAAAAATCCTCACCAATTTGCATAGGTGACCACAGACCCAAACCCTTGGATCTTAAGAACAATGAAAAAGCAATCAGGTTCTTAAAAGAAGAATTTTAATTGAAGAAAAAGTAAAAGAATCACCTCTGTCAAATCAGGTTGGTAAATACCTTACAGGGTAATCAGATTCAAAACATAGAGAATCCCTCTAGGCAAAACCTTAAGTTACAAAAAGACACAAAACCAGGAATATACATTCCATTCAGCACAGCTTATTTTATCAGCAATTTAAACAAAACAAAATCTAACGCATCTCTAGCTAGATTACTTACTAAGTTCTAAGACTCCATTCCTTTTCTGTTCCTGACAAAAAAAATAACACACAGACAGAGAGAACCTTTGTTTCTCCCTCCCCTCCAGCTTTGAAAGTATCTTGTCTCCTCATTGGTCATTTTGGTCAGGTGCCAGGGAGGTTATCCTTGGTTCTTAACCCTTTACAGGTGAAAGGGTTTCTCCTCTGGCCAGGAGGGATTTAAAGGTGTTTACCCTTCCCTTTATGTTTATGACAACACCTCACAGCAGCGATGGGCTCCTTCCAAGCCAGGTGTTTTCACAAACCAGTCCTAAGTAATGACCCATGAAAAGACAAATTATGGACTATTACAGTTGACAGAGACACCCTGACTGTCAAATTGAGAGGGAACCTCCCGCAATGCTCTGATTAACCATGAATTGAGAGAAAGGATAAACCCCTGCAAACCCTCTTACAAGGGAAGGGAACAGGATTTGAAGTGAAAGGTATCAGAACTGAGGAACAGTCTCAGGCATGGGGCTGTCTGTCTTGCACACTGGATTCCCTCTATGGCAGGGGATATGCTGGGAAACTGTTCAAAGGTAACTTCTATTAGCAAAGGGAATTTAGCTAATGTTGAAGTGTAAAGCCTGAAGTTGAATATTTATGTTTATTTTCTGTGTCACTTGTCCGTGTTTGCTTCTTCTTCCTAGTTCATCTTTGGAACTGTGATTTGTCTACAACATAAACGTCTTGTTGATTTTTACCCCAAGCAGGTCTCTGATGTGCAAACTGTGTGGAGTGTGTTTGCCAAAATGAACTGATAACCAGGGGCAAGTTTCACTTCTTCCGGGGGGTGACGAAGCAGAGTTGGGAAAGTCCGAGTGTCCAGTAGTTAAGAACTTGGTGGGTAGAGAGATTTCTGGGGACTCAGGATCAGAAGGGCTGGTGGAGTCGCCGGGGCAGGAGTAACTGGGCTGGGTAAGACCTTTACGCTTGTAGGGTGGCTACTGGTGTCAAGGCTCTGAGTCATAGGGTATGTCTACACTAGCCACATTACAGCATGGCAGCACTGTGAAGTGGGCAGTGTAGACACACTTTATCGCCGGGGGAAGAACTCTCCCAGCGATTAAAAAACCCCCCCTACCCCTAATGAGGGGCGGTAGCTTTATCGCTGGGAGCACGGCACCCGGTGATAAAGCGCTGTCTATATTGGCACTTTTCAGGGCTAAAACTTTTGTCGCTCGGGGGGGGGGGGGCAGGGCACGTTTTTTCACACCCCTGAACGACAAAAGTTTTAGCCCTGAAAGTGACAGTATAGACACAGCCACAGCAATGTAGCGTTAACACACCCAAAGTTACAGGACAGGCGGTGAGAGAACCCCTTACTGCTCTGGGGGAGCCTCAAAGCATCACAGTGGGCCTGTTTTGTTCGTAACTCCACATGTTTTTCTTTGTTATAGCGTCAGAGAGGATTGTGATAACCCAAAAGTCCTGCCTGTACTCCAATAGTTGCCAAACAGACTCCATTAGTATGAACTTTGGGAACGGAATGACACACAGGAGCAGAATCACCTGCGGTGTGGGAGAAGACTGTAAAACAGCATCTGACCCACGTATGTATCTACGGCATGTGCTCTCCTCCCCTTTCCACCGCCTCCTCTTCCTTTTCCCACCCACCTGCCAGGAGGAGGCTCATCCTAGGCTTACAGTGAAACTCCTGCTCTCTATCCTAAGTTTGCACCAAACTGGGAATTCACCCAGACCCCGCCAGGGATTGCCCTGCTGCTCTCTAAGATGTTGTGAGAGATTAAGAATGAGGCGAGATTTCAGTAGGAAATTTCACCTGCTTTACAGGGGTGCTCTACGGAATAACACTGAGTCCCTGAGAACATGCCGGGAGCAGTGGACTGAATAACTCTCAGTCTCTGAGAATAGCCACTTGACCTGCAGTGGGCCTGTTGTATTAAGTGAGAGGGAGTATATGGTGGTAAAATAACCCAGTCGCTGTCCAACATTAAACAGTGTTAAACAAGGTCCGGGGTTTGATATACAGAGACGTCAGCCTGCTTAGCACCATGGGAAACACACCATGAAACATCCTTTTAACCTTTTAATAAAGAAATAGAAAAGAAGGAAAAGCTGTGAAAGCCTTTGAAAGGTAAAGTATGAAATCAGGCTTTCATTTTCACACCCTTTCCCTTTAGCTGGAGAGAGTCTTTAGGAGGAAAAAAAAACCCTTGTTTAGTCTCTTGGGGTAAATAACTGTCACTCTCGGTTGCATTTTGGATTCAGCTGGAGACAGTAAAGGCGGTGATGTCATCTGGATCCCTCTCTCTGGCCCTGATCTCTTAGGATCAGGATGACAAAGGCCTGGGGTCCCAGGAAACAGGCATGGGGGTGGGTATGGCAGCCATGATGGTGAAGCTCACTTCAGTAGTCTCTGTCTGTTCTTTTGAGTGTTCTGCTCCCTCCCAAAAAAGAATCCGAAAAGGGAGGGATGGACAGAACAGCCCATCCCCTCATTATTTTGTCCACCAATTAGGCCTAATAGCTGACACCGATTTTGGTTCATTAACTTCTGTTTCCAAGTCTTCTGTGTTTACAGAGCATGATTTCAACGTAGTCCTTGAATTATATCGGTGTGGCTTTTGGTTTGGACTAATTTAGTCTCTCTGTTCTAGTTCTCTTGCACCTATTTATTACATTCCTCATTGAAAATAACGACCTATTTTCCATGGTAAAAGTTATAGACCAGTTGTCACAACAAGCCTTGCACTGAATAACTCCCCGCTGGGGTGGGGAGGAGTAGGATAGGCGTCTGAGTTCCTACTAACCAGATTCTACACGGGAGAAGGCTTCACTCGGCAAAACTCTCATGTCAGCAGAGACTAGACTCAACTGCCTGTGGTATATCCTGAGCTAGACCTGTAGTCCCTTGTTGTGGGAGGATTTAAAGGGCTATTTGATGATTTGCTGCCAAGCTCCCTCAACCCAATGCCAGCTGTCCCTGCTAACATTGTCAAAGCTGACTGTGATCCTTCTGGTTCTTCCCAGTGCCACCGATGAACACCATTCCCAATGGCCTGCAGTGTCCAGCATGCTACGCTGAGAATTCTTACCAGTGTAGTGAAAACACCGTGAGTTGTACGGGAGTCCAGACCCAGTGTTTTGATATAGCTGGGAAAATAACCATCGGTAACTTATTTATTTTTTCCTGTTAGATTTTGGTTAATTTTGCAAACGCCATTCTATGAAATGCTTCAAAGAGAAATGAGAGAAAGCAAATTTAAAAAAAAGCAAAAGAAATGTCAATGACACTGAATGGGAACAAATCTGAAACTGGTACAAGGGAATGTTTCCCCCCCCCTTTCCATGTTGTGTACAGTTAACCTGTGGAATTCATTGCCACAGGGTATTATTGAAGCCAAGATCTTAGCAGGCTTCATAAAAGAATCAGACATTTAGAAAATTAATAAGTATGGATAAGAACATCTACACTTATGGTAGATAAGATTTAAGCCCTCTTGCTTCTGAGTCTAAAACAGCTACTACCTAAATGGAGATTACGCAGAAACTTCCCCTCGGAACAGGTGACCGTTTAGCTATGTATAACCATGATCTTCCTCTGAAACATATGCTACTGGTCATTCTTGGTGGCAGGATACTGGATTAGATGGACCCCTAATCTGATCTGGTCTGGTAATTCCATTTTTCCTGAATTAAAAAAAATGTAAACAGTGTCCCCTTGCTGCTGATCGGTAGCAGGCTGGCTTCCCCTTAGAAAAGAAATTAGTGTTATGGAGTCTGAGTATTTTCTGAGTGTAACTTGTTTATTTACACTATATACATCAATCCCTGAACAGAGGTGATTGCAAGCAACCCTCTCTTTCAGAAATCTCAGCCTCCAAACCAAAGCCCGATTCCCAGGAAGCAATGCACCAAGTATTGGCTCTAGTTAGAGAGATTAAGACAGAGAGCAAACTCTCCTGCTGCTTGCAACAGCCCCTAGCCCACCAAAAAAACACCTGCTTCACAAGCTAACAACCACCCAGCATCTTGTCAGACTGAAGAGTGCTTGCACACTAAGAAAAAGGACTTGCTGGACTGTGTGTAACAGAGCCACCAGGTGACTCCCAGTCTGAATAAACATCACTCATGTATTTAGATACATAATTACATGCATACTTTCTCTGACACAATAATACTGCCAGTTCTCCAGCTGGCCATAGAGACTTCCAGAGTAGAAAAAAATCCTGATTCCTAATGTAATAAGTAGAAAAATCCCCATGTGAGGGGAAAAATTGAAAAGCTTCCCATCCTTTTATTCATCGGAAAGCAGGGGGTCGGGGGAGCCCAGCTGACCCCCATTATTTCCGGTCAATCAAACTGACTCCAGTTGCCTCTTTAGATGTTTCTTTTAAAATGTATTTAACGGCTTTCAGAGAAAGTGACCTGACAGGAACTCTCCTGCCCAGCAGAGGAGCTAACACTTAGTGTCCTGCCGGTGACTGGAAGTGGCAGGGGATGAGGGGTGGGAAGAGGAAGGATCAGAGAAGGACAGGGAGACTAGAACAACCTTGATAGCCTCACGGGGGGTAGCACTATTGGGACTGACTAGCGACAGGATGAGCCAGAGCTCCCCTGATGCCTGGTATGTGCTTCTTCCTCTGTGCAGGTGTCCTACCCCTCAAAACTGCAATGAAGGGCTGCACCACCGAGTCTGAGTGTGCTGCTCCAAAAGGGGAGAAAGGGTTGGATGTGAACTTCGTGAGGTTTGAGTGCAAACCAGCCTCCAGCAGAGGCCACAAGGCTCTTGGATTTGCCCCTCGAGTCACCCTCCTTCCAGCACTGTCAGGGCTTATCTTGGTGCTGCCGCTTTCTTGATCTTCCCTGCAGGCCATGGGACACATGCCCAGCATTGCTGTGCTGAAGCCATTCTATCTGCTGCTCGCACATGGCACGTTCTGCATTTGTTTTTCCCTTGTAGGGACTCTCCGTTTTCTACTGGAATCTCTCTGCTTTAGCCTTTTTCAGTGAAGTCAAGAAAAATCTTCTAGATATTTGATTTATTTAAGCTGGTGAAGTTTACTTATATTGGGCATCACAATGGCTAGACTGGGACCCAGCGAGACCCTGTGTAGAACCACTAGACAGAACAAGTGGTGGAAATGAAAGCATTCAAAACAACCACAGGGTCTGCCAGCATCCAGCAGCCTCAGTAAAGATCCCCTTTATATTAATTCCACCTGAGTCTGTCCCTCTTCTTCTACCCCCTCTCATTAAGGTTGTGTGGCAGAATGTACCCGTGTATTCACACCCTACACACTGTTGAAATAACCTTTGTAATAACCTTGCAAGGTGTGATAATTGAACGGCGTGCGGATGGGGGCGGGGATGCGGGGAGGTAGCTCCCTTTTATGGACACCCAGCCAGCCAGTTAGCTATAAAATCCCTCTTAGTAGTTGTTCTCTACTTGCTTTACCTGTAAAGGGTTAAAAAGTCTCCCTGCATAGGTAAAAGGAAGGGAGTGGGCACCTGACCAAAAGAGCCAATGGGAGAGCTAGAACTTTTAAAAATTGGGAAAAAACTTCCCCTTTGTCCGTCTGTGCTGTTCTCCCGAGAAGCAGAGACAGGGCTGAAACTATGCTGTAAGAGCTTGTGTCTGGTATGAAAAATCATCAAATCATACCTAGAAACTACTCATTTGGAACCCCAGATATGTAAGTAAATCAGGAAATGTCTAGGAAGACGCAATTAGGTTTATCTCTGTTTATTTCTTTATGGCTTGTGGACTCCTCTGGGCTAACCCCAAATGCTTTTGTTTGCTTGTAACCTTTAAGATGGAGCTCAAGAACCTTATTCTTGATGCTAATCCTTGTAAGTGGTTTTTTTTAAAAAATCTAGCAATAGCCTAAGTTTTCAAATGAATTTTTTTTCTTTTTAATAAAATTTACCTTTTTTAAGAACAGGATTGGATTTTGTTTCCTAAGATGTTTGTGCACAGGTTATTTAATTAGCTGGTGGAAACAGCTGGTTTCCTTTGTTTTCTTTCTTAGCTCTTCTCTGGAGAAAGGGAATGGGCTGTGAAAGGGCATGAGGGTACCCACAGCAAGGAATTCCCAAATGTGCCTTCCTGGGTTCTCAAAGGGGTTTTTGCACTTGGGTGGTGGCAGCATCTACCCATCCAAAGTCAGAGAAAAGCTGTAACCTTGGGAGTTTAATATCAGCCTGGAGTGGCCAGTATTAGTTTTTAGAATCCTTGCGGGCCCCCACCTTCTGCACTCAAGGTGCCAGAGTGGGGAATCAGCCTTCACACCAGGTATCATTTGAAAACTCATAATTTACTGATCAGTATCATCCTAATAATATACATGTGTCAATTTTATATGTGAAATTATAAGATTCCACTGTATGGTGTTGTTAAGACATGTTCCAAACTGGGATTGGCAAATTGGTCTGTCCTAAACAAAGGAATGTGTGCTCTGCTTAATTTGCATTTAAGCAGTAAACAGAATCATTAAACAGGAAGAGGAGCAAAGGAAATTCAAACAGGTGAGGAAAAAGCAGCAGGGAACATCCTTCCCTGTAGACTTTTTGTCTCCTGATATCTAATTGGAAACATTTTTCAAGAGGGGGACTGAAACTATACAAAGGAGGGACAAACACCACAAAGGATACCCTCCCCCACACACTCTATTCCTATCGATTCACTGCATCAGAAAGGACAAAGGAAGCATGCGTTGGATTCTGGGAGAAAGGGTCCTGACCTAAGAAGTTTGGTTAGTAAGACTGCTGAAAGTGTATGGTGAGAAACTTTGCTTGAATCTGATATAGTTTGTTAAGTTAGATATTAGTAAATGTCTTATCTTTATTTTTCTTGTAACCATTTCTGACTTTTATGCCTCATTACTTGTACTCACTTAAAATCTCTCTCTTTGTAGTTAATAGTTGTTTTATTGTTTTATCTAATCCAGGGTGTTTAAATTGAAGTGTTTGGGAAACTCCATTTGGGGTGGCATGGGATATACATATTATTTCTATTAAAGAAATAACAGACTTTATATAAACTCATATTGTCGGGGAGAGGGCTGGGCAGTACAGGACAGACATTTCTGGGTGAAAATCTAAGACTGCGAGTGTGTTGGGGTCACCCTGTAGTATAACCGAGGCTGGTGAGGGCCAGACTGTAACACAAGTGTGGCTGGCAGGCTGCAGTTACACACAGAGGCTCAGGGTGTGGCTTGCATGCTGGAAGGCTGTTTGTGAGCAACCCAGGTAGGAACTCCATCAGCAAGGCATTGTAAGGCACCCAAGGTTGCAGGGCAGGGATGGCACAGCTGCTCATTTGTCCACATTGTACCTGGGTATGTCACAGTTTCACTTTCACACTGGTCATGAGGCCAACCATCAGTTGGGGGAGCATTAGGGACGCCATCACAAAAATCACTGTCCCCCAGAATCAATCAGTGCCGGCTGTCCTGTGCTCTAACCACTAGAGAACACTCCCTTTCAAAGCCACAAAGGGAACCCAGGAGTCTTGTCTATCAGCCACACCAGCTGTGACTGATACTCACCACCCCTCCTCCCAGAGCCTCATACAGAATCCAGCAATCCAGGCTCCCAGTCCTGTGCATGATCCAACACACGATATTGTCTCTTAAAGGTGAGTACATTGTGTGTATTTGTGTTGTTTTGTTTTATTTCCCAGAAGAGAAATTAAAAGGAGAGATCTGTCCATATTCCTTCAGGGTCAGCCCCTGTCAAGGAAGGAGAACAGAAACTGACATTCTCAGCAGAAAACGAAGGGGAGCTTGTCAATGTTCTGTATTACACCAGAGCTGAGGATCTGAGCCCTGTATAAGAAGGTGGAGGATGGACTGGGGAGGGAATGATGGGACTGAAAGAGACTGACTAAAAAATGAGTATGGTTTGCAGGGTAAATGTAGCTGTGTTCATCCCAGGATATTAGACAGACAAGGTGGCTGAGGTTATATCTTTTACTGACCCAACTTTTGTTGGTGAAAGAGACAAGATTCTGAGCTTAAACAGGACCTGAAGAAGAGCTCTGTGTAAGCCCCAGAGCTGGTCTCTCTCACCAACAGTCCAATGAAAGATATTACCTCACTCACCTTGTCTCCCTCAGTGAACATGGCACAGAGATGGTAATTCACGCTGGGGAAGATCAGACTCACCGTAGCACTCAGATTAAATATTTATATCCTGATTGAAAGCACACCAGCATGTCCCTGGTGTGGTAGGATGTACTGCCTCTTTAAGGCATGGTCCGGAGCTTAGGGCCACAATAGCCTGCGCACAGCCAAGAAGCAGCCAGCTCCACCCTGTTTCTGGGCTATATAAACAGCAAAAGGAGGCTGAGTGAGAAAGAGGGGACTGGAGGACATACTGATTGCAGGTCTCAGGCATTAGTCTGACCTGGGCCTTAGAGACTTTGCTTTCTGACTGTAAATTTGGTTGCTGTGAGGTAAGGGCTTTATGAACTTGGTTAAGATGGCTGCTCCTTCCCTGACTTGAAGCCTAAGGGGGAAAGCCTGCCTGCCTCGTGGCGCAATAAGAGAACTAGAAAGTCTGCTGGCTGGGGTTGGTTTGTACGCTGTCTTAAGGGGAACATGTGTTTTGTTAGTTTGGTTTTGGCCTCTCTTTCTTGGATCCTGGGTACCCCAAGAAATGACACTGAGATTAGTCCATCTGTATGATGCAGTGGAGCTAAGTATTCTGGTTTCTTCCTGGCCTGTCGCATAGTGCTGACGTGCTCATGTGCAGCAGCTGCATTTCACCTCAGAGGTGGCTGCCTTTCAGTGGTGGTTGTCATGCCATGTAGTTTATACTGACACTGAAGACCTTGGAGATGCAAACCCCACCCGTTATTGGTGTTGATAATAAGTGGAGGGTCAAGGTGTGGCTTGAAACACAAGCTTCTCTTGAAAGAGGTTGAAGCAACAGCCTCCATAGCTTAGCCTGAGAGGAAGTGACACCTTTGTGTAACTAATGCCTGGGGGTTAGTATTAATTCTAGCAATGTGTGGACAGGAGTCAGAAGAACACCAACTACCTAGTATTAAATGTGACTGGCTGAACAAAATGATGCCCTATTTGATTGTGGTTTTTCAGTCTGTATGAACTGGGGTGGCATCCTTGGATGCTTACGTAGGCTGAGCTGGGCTCCTCCCTCTGGTCAGAGCCCCCACTGGGTCTCTTGCCCCCCCAGCTACAGCCTGCATTGCCAGCTGAACCTGCATTTGCACTTAAGAAGCTGACTAATGCAGAGCTTGGCGGCCTATGTGAACAGTTAAGTGTGTGACCCCTTCAAGTAGCACCTCACAATCTTCAGTGTATTTATCCCCACAACTCCCCTGTGAGGCACGGCAATGCTGTTATCCCTGTTTTGTAGGTGGGGAACCGAGCTAGAGAAAATAAGTGACTTGCCCAAGCTCACACAGGAAGTCTGTGACGGAGGAGGGACTTGAACTTTGGTCTCCAAAGTCACAAGTTGCTGCTATACGCAACAAACCATCCTTCCTTTTGGCATCCTTCAGCTGCTTCTAGTGCACCTCTGTAACAGGCCCACTGTCCCAGAGCACCCCTTCATGGCCTTTTGGACCGTCTCCTGCGTTGAAGACTTGGCCTTCTGACCGGGTTCCTCTAGAGTCCCACCTCTTCTGCAGTTGTCAGTATCCTTAGAGCCCCAAACGCTGTCCACCATGAAGAGAAAATTGCATGTACTCAAATGTTTTCTGCCCTTCCTGGATTCTCAGGCCTAGTCTAGCCTGGAGGTGGAAGGAACTGGATATTGTTTTAGTTTCTTGCAAGACCCCTTCTCCTACCCTCCTGCTTCTCGGTGCTTGACGTTGGGGATTCTTTGGCTAT